TTTGTTTTTTAGTTCTTTCCATGTGTTTTAAAGTGATCGGGGGGGGAGAAAACTTGCCGATGAGGAAAGGTTGAAGGATTTCATTATGTTTAGCCTGGAGAGGAGACAACCGAGAGTTATTTGTGTGCAAAATAACTGATGCAGTTAAGAAGCTGAGCTGCAGTAAGAACTCAGTGAAGGAAAATGCATAAACAGGGATTGTTATCCCAGAATAACAATCTCTGAATCTTGATTGTGTATGGAGTGATTCTCTTGCCTTGCCTAAATGTAACATTTTGCTTGAAGACAAGGGGGAAAAGAAGGCTTGGCATTTCACTTAAGTCCTGTAGCCTGAAGCTCCACAGACCACTATGTTCTACATAAAATACTAACAGAATCAAAGTTTTAGTTAGTCTGATTATTTTCCCTTTCCTATAGGAAATGGAAGCTCATACATAGCAGTCAACTGACAAGAATCTGGGTTGCCCTTTTGCTCATCTTCCTGCTCGGTGTAACATTCCATGTTGTTCAGAACCTCCAGTACACCAGGTAAATTCAACTCAGGATGATAAATGATGTGATCCATATATACATACTCCCAGCAGAAGAGCATCTAAGGTAAGAGAGACAGGAAAGCTGAGCATCTGCACCAGTTCAGCAGCAAGGTGAGGAAGCTGGAACATCAGCATCTCTTTGTCTCATGACAGGTATATAAATTTAAAATAAAAACTTCACAGTTTGACTCTATAACTTCAGCTTTTAAATTAAAAGGATTTAAAGGTGCAACTAACTAGGAAGGTAGAAATCCAGCAAGGTAAGTTCAGAGAATGGCTGTCAGGGAATGAATTCTTTCACTGGAGACCAAGGTTACTGAATGGTATCCTTCCACACAGGGACAATTCCCTCTTGTGCACGCATTGCCACTTTGAATGGAGAAGAATTCACAGCAGCAGTGGAGCACCTATATGTGTGCATTCTCCATGTTTTCCTTGGTATCCCATCATGCCCATCCCCACACTAGTAGCTATAATGCTGTAAGGTTATAGCAATACAGCAATTATCATTTTTTAAAAATAGCAAAAATCCCACTGCTGGTGGTGAGGGAAATGGCAGATGCAAGGGAATACAAAGGGGATAAATTGTACTTATGGGCAGGAAGATTCAAAAATTCATACCTTCCCTTCCATATGGAGTGCAAACCTACTTTGACTCATATCTTCTCAGAAAGGGTATAGCAAAGCAAGCTGGGAAAGGACAATATAATCTGGGCAGTGTCCCCCCAAAACACACACACACACACACACACACACACACACACACAAAAACCTGTTGCAGTTTGCTCATAAAACTGGACCAAAAGTTTCATGTGGAAACAGCCTTGCAGAAGCCTGGAAAGGTAACAAGATATGCTGTCAAGACTTTGAGAGCAACCCTACACATATGCTGACTGCTAAAACTCTTGAAGTGAGAGGGCATCAGGCTGGGGAAGAGGGAAGCAGTCCCTTTAATGGGACCTGCTCCTCAGATAATGAACAGATACTCTCTCATACCAAAGGAAGCAGAGTAGGTGGTTCAGTCATAGAGATTGGTTTGTGATTAGCTTTTCTTTCCATCAATATGGGAAAAGGAGTGGGAGGCTGGCTCAGCTATGCATCCACTGCTAGCTTGTCCTTTAATTGCAGATTGGAGAAGAAATGTAGCTATATGGTCCTGGAGGAAAAGTTTAGTTTGCTAGGCTAGGTCATAATCCAGGACATCATTTTTAGAAATTCTGCCTATTTCGCATGCAGTGCCAGTAAACAGATGGAGTTTAGGAATAGTGAATGAGACAATAGTATTGAGAGGAAAAGTTTAGATTTGTTAGGTAATGGAGAGCATTAGGGGACAAACTGACAAGAGACAGGCTCGACTTGAACTAGAATGCTGGCACTTGGGGCCAAACTAGACAATACGTCTTCCATGAGTCTGGTTGGGGTTCCCCAATCCAATTTTCAGATAAATGTTACATTGGGAAACTAACATTCCCAAATGCACCAGGGCCCAATCCAGCTCAGGAGCACAACACAGGGTGAGGAGGGTGTCAGAAGACCTCAGGGTTCCCTTGACCCTGGAACAAATCCCCTTCTGATAGTATGACCGAGACTGGGTTTGGACTCTCACACATGCAGTAAAACACATCAATAAAAGCAACAAGCTTTATTGAAAAAAAATTAAAAAGTGGTTCAGGCTTAAGCATAAGCGAGAATAAGCAGGTGCAATGGAAATAACAAAAGTCTAGCTTTTTGTGAGAGAAATTAAGACCATATCATCAGCATATAACAAGATTGAAATTTTTTGATGGTATACACGGGAAGTGACCCTGGATTTGATCCTGAATGGTGCTCAGCACTTGAAGCAAGATGTAAGCAGTGTTGAACCAACTGGAAATAGTGACTACAGTGCTATTAAATTCAGCATTTATGTAAATAAAAAGCCCAACATGGTCACATACAATTTCAAAAGAGGAAAATTCCTTAAAATGAGAAGATTGGTCAAAATAGAGAGTAAAATGGGTCTTCAGAATTCTTGGGAAGTATTTAAAATGACAAAAAAGGTTAAGCTGAGAGAGAATGTATAGCACAGGTTAGGAAAGATACTCTTAAACTAAGAGGACCCAAAGGAGGTTAACAAGCAAAGTCAAGAAAGACACAAAACCCCAGAAAGCTTCTTTTTAAAAATATCGACATTTTACCTAAGAAAACAACAACAACAACAATAATAATACCTTTTGATTTATTGATTGCTCAATCCTGCAGGGCTGCTGGCTCTGAGCGATTTACAGTTACACAGGTTTTCACAAGGGACTAACAATAATAGGGGTAAGGGAGGACAACATATAATTCTTTAAATCGCACACGTTTGCAGCCAACGGGGATTTTGTTCAGCTGTAGGCTTCAGTCGTGTTCCGGGCGGCATTCATTTCGGCTTGGCTTGATGACGTTAGTTCTTCCTGGGCTGGCTTTGAGTCATAGCGCCGCACTGCCACCGCCTGGCCGGATTGGCTCATTACAGGCTTCTTGATGCCGAAGAGGTCTTTTTTCCAGGCTTCCGAGATTACGAGCTGGACGTTCCATTCGCCGGCTAACACCTCCCCTACAGGGGTTTAGTGTGCCCACCCTCTCTAAGGAGTGGTACCCATTTTATCTACTCGCCGAAGCTTTCGAACCACTGGGTGGAGGGCAAGCTGGGGACAAGGCTGGTAGCTCACACCAGCGCGGGCTAGAACTGACAGCAACTCTGTTCAGTTCAGTTCAAAGAAGCATAGGCTTCGACAAAACCAATGTAAGTTGATAGCGTGGGAAGCAAACACATGATTTCAGGAACATATTACTAAAAAGATTAATTGCTGTAAATATATCAGAAGCAGGAGGCTGGCCAAGGATGTAGTTGAGCCACTGGACAGGAAAGGAGTGAAAGGACTGCACGGAAGATGGGGGGACTGCAGAAAATGAGTTTCCAAACCCATAATCAACTGTTCCAAACCCATAATCAACTGTTTTTAGGGAGACGGTCTGAAGTACAAAATCAAATGAAGAAGAAGAAGAGATTGGATTTATACTCTGCCCTTCACTCGGAGTCTCAGAGCAGCTTACAAACTCCTTTCCCTTCCCCTCCCCACAGCAGACACCCTGTGAGGTAGGTGGGGCAGAGAGAGCTGTTTCAAGAACTGCCCTTTCAAGGACAGCTCTTGTCAGAACTATGGATGAGAAGGTGCACATTTTTAAAGTCCCACCCAATTGGCACCGTTTTCCTTGCCTCAATTTCCGCAGCCGCCATTTTCACCTGCACCATTGTAGCAAGTTTCTGGCCTTTTAAAAAACATTACTAATTGCTATATTGCTATAGCATTAAAATATTACAATGATGGATAACCACTATCTACTAGTTATTTTGAATCCCCAGAATTCATGTACAGTAGGCAGAGTCCCTCCTTTGTTTGCAGGTGGCCTACTTGAGTAACTCCCCAGGTATGCAAAAATATATGACTTTGTACAGGAATAAAAGGGAAAAACCCCTGTGAAAAACAGCCTGATGAAGACTAAATATACTCCAGAAGGAATAGGACATCAAGAACAACTGTCCATTAAAGGTAAGTGGAAAGAGAGTAATTAGCCCTTGAAGACCCTGAGTGAACACAGTGTCGGAGAGGGAGACTGGAAGGGATGGAATGGGATTTCTAAACTGTTAACCCCTGCATGCACAAAGCTTCATCCTCTTAAAGGGTATTCATGGGAATCAACAAGCCCCAGTAAGCAGTAGTTCTTCTAAACAATAATCAACTTCCACCTAAGCCCAAAGCCCTTTAGAACACATGGGTTTCTAATGATTTCATGTGCTAAAAGGGCCAGTCATTGCTCTCAGATGGGAATATCTGGATGTAGCTAAATCAGAGGCATTCACCCAGGACAGAACCACATACAGCCTGATTGCCACCCTCTGCTGTTACTTGCAAGGCCAAATAGTCTTGCCTGTGCACTGCACTGTTTGTCATGAGTAACTCACACCCAGTAGGCAATAATGTTTGTGAAGCAGCAGTTCAGATGTGTTTATAATGAGGGTGGAGGGTGCAAGAGGATTGCAACAAGGGATTGATTGGACCAACAGGTGCTCCTTGGGTGAATTATGATGTTGGCTTATGCATACGTGAGAAATGTCAAACTATTTGCTGTTATTATATTCAGAGAATGAAAGTTTTATTTGCACTAGTGAAACAAGATCTAATAATAGGAAAGCAATTTAATTTGGCAGTGAGGTGTAGAGGGAAAGTAAGGGAAAGCGAGTCCACAGTTTGTTTGGGCATGGAAGGGGTGCACATGAGATATGCTTGTCAAAAATATTTGAAGGCCTCCTTGTCTGTCTTTCACAGCAAATGTAAGTGTGATTGCTGGCTGAAGCAGCTTTCCTTCCAGCAAACCGGCGCACATGAAAATTCATTCCAGGATCAAAGAGACCCAAACTCTGCCCACCTTTTCTCAAAACCTATGGAGAAGAACGTCACCTCACAAAACATTGTGAAACTGCTGACACCTGGACCCAGCTCTGCTGAGAAAAAGAAACATGTCATGAAACTGAGCAAGGAACTCAACCAAATCAAACTCCTGGACACTAGTTTTGGCAGTGAAGAAGAGTTTGGGCAAAAACCTTCCATGAAAAGTACAGAACAGGTGCAGATTCTAAATTTTAAAAAAAGACAGAAAGACCTGAACCACCACACCAAAAAAATTCCTACAGTGACCTTTTCAGCCAGTAGGAAACTTGTTACTGCAGTAAAGGCTAGAATTTCCCTGTTCAAAGTGAAAAAATCTGCAACAAAGATAACTGTAGATGACCAACCCCCAGGTGTGAATGGCCCATTTCAAAGCCTAACCAAAGCATCGCCATCTTCCATCCACAGCAGAAACAAGTCTTCCAGTGTTACAAACTCACAGACCTTTAATATCCCAAAAGGCAGAAACCCAAGTGAGGCAGCATCATCAGCAGAGATAAGCAGGATACCGTTGCCAGAGAAAACAGTTCTTCCAAAGGTTGGAAGAACAACTGGAGCAAATATCACCAACTTCTCTGAAGGTGCAAAATGCAAGCCCAGGACTCACATTGTTTTCCTGAAAGTACACAAGAGCGCCAGCAGCACTGTCATTAATATCTTGTTCCGCTTTGGTGAGACTCACAACCTCACCTTTGCCTTGCCAATCAATGGTCTTCATCAGTTGAATTATCCCCATTACTTCACAGCAGCTGTCGTGGAGCCACTTTCTCCAAGCAATGATTCCCAGTTCAACATTATGTGTCACCATATGAGGTTCTTTAAGCCAGAGGTAAGAGACAGAAATCTTCCCCAGTGATGCAGATGAGCTGTTTTTTCTCCGCAAAACTTCTAGCACATAATAGATTTCATTCAAATGTAGTAAAGTACAAGAGGCGGGACCCGCGATACTCACGGGATGCTTTCCATGCCTACTTCTTCTTCATACTCCTTACACCACCCTAAAATTACCATCTCTTTCCATTTCCAACTGCCTCCATCTATCTATATATCTAATAGCCAAGTTGCCCCCTGGTGTGCGGATACTTATTTCCGCACATCGGGGGCACCTGGAGGGGAGGGAGAGTTTTGTGCCCACGTGGGGCAGTCCCCAGGTGTGCACAAAAATCTAAAAACACGATTAAAATATCGGGGGGGGGGTACTTAAATCCTCCCAAAAGTGACAGAGCGTCCCCTGCGCATGCGCAGGGGACGCTCTGTCACTTTTGGGAGGATTTAAGTACCCCCCCCCGATATTTTAATCGTGTTTTTAGATTTTTGTGCACACCTGGGGACTGCCCCACGTGGGCACAAAACTCTCCCTCCCCTCCAGGTGCCCCCGATGTGCGGAAATAAGTATCCGCACACCAGGGGGCAACTTGGCTATTAGATATATAGATAGATGGAGGCAGTTGGAAATGGAAAGAGATGGTAATTTTAGGGTGGTGTAAGGAGTATGAAGAAGAAGTAGGCATGGAAAGCATCCAGATATAAAATATGTGTCTTTCAAGTTCTCGTAAATTTAGCCACATATATCAAGCAATAAAGGATGGTGAAGGATATCAACCTCATGTTTTTAATAGACTGGTTACTGAGATTAATTTCCCTCCAACTGAGCCTCCGGGGAGGGCGGGATAGAAATGTAAATAATAAATGAATAAATGAATAAATGAATAAATAAATAGACCTAGTTTTGGAAGAGAGACTGCACTGGGTCATCCTGATGGACAATCTTCTCTGAAAGGGAAACAGGGAGTAGTGCAACCCTCTTGATTTTCCTGGACCCTTCCACAGCTTTCAGGAACATCAGCCATGACATCTGTCTAAGTGGACAGGCTGAGACACTCAATGTGTGACCACAGCCTGGTAGTTTTCGCACTATCTGGCCGAATGGTTCCAAGAGATGGTGAAAAAGAGTGAAAGCCCAACTTCCTGGCACTTGTGCCATGAGGGTCCTCCAAGTCTTCCTCTTCCCTGTCCTTTTTTAACACCCACACAAAAGAGTTAGGAGGGGCCCTACAGAGATTTGGAGTAAAATACCGATGACATCCTTCAGTTAAGTTCCGTGAGACAGTAATGTCTTTAAATGGGTGTGCCAATTGCTGCCCTTCCTTGAAAAGTACAAGCTTGGACACTATTTTCCATGGTCTAGTTTTATGCAAGTTAAAATCGCTGCAATGCATTCTATGTGGGTCTGCTTTTGAAGTTCATTCAGAAACGTCACTTGGTCCAAAATACAGAGCAAGATTCCCTGCTGGTACTGATATAGATATGTAGTTTGGAGCTGCGGTGGCTCAAGTGGTTAAGACGCTGAACTGCAGGCTGTGGAAGGTCGGTAGTTCAGCAGTTCGAGACCCGGGTTGCTGCATGACGGAGTGAGCTCCCATCTCTAGTTCCAGCGCCTGCCAACCTAGCAGTTCGAAAGCAAGAAATTGCAAGTAGATAACTAGGTACCACTTCGGTGGGAAGGTAACAGCGTTCCGTGCGCCTTGGAGTTTAGTCATGCCGGCCACATGACCACGGAAAAGTCTTCGGACAGCACTGGCTCTTCGGCTTTGAGACGGAGATGAGCACCGCAACCCTAGAGTCGGACTCGACTGGCTTTTGAGCAAGGGAACCTTTACCTTTACCTTTTTACTGATATAGAAGGAAAAACTCTCCCAGTGTTGAAAGAACTTTACTGGCTTCTGTTTTGTTTAGGGTTGTGCCAGCTCTGGGTTGGGAAATACCTGGAGATTTTGAGGGTGGAGCCTGAAAAGGGTGGGGTTGGGGGAGGGGAGTGATTACAATGGGGTATAATGCTGTAGAGTCTGTTTTCCAAAGCAGCCACTTTCTCTAGGTGAACTGATTTCTGTCACCTGGAGATCACTTGTAATAGTAGGAGATATCCAGCTGCCACCTGGAGGTTGGCAACCCTAATTTTGTTTTCATTTCAGAGTGCTTTGTGGGAGGGGGGAGGTTTACCATTAAAGCCCAGTAGTCTGTGGCCAGAGTATCTAAAGTATCACATGCTCCTATATGAGTCTGACAGTTGAAGTCCCTGGCCAAAAATTACCTCATAAACACATGAAACGGCATTGTACTGAGTCAGGCTATTGGTCTATCAAGGTCAGTACTGGCTACTTTGACTGGCAGCAACTCTCCAGCATCCTCAGGCTGAGGTCTTTCACATTACTTGCTACCTGGTCTTTTTTAACTGGAGATGCTGGAGGTTGAACCAGGAACCTCCTGCATTCAAAGCAGATGCTCTGCCCCTGACCCATCTGTCCTCAGACATTTTACCTTTCTTGTTATTCGTATGTACTGTTTTTATCTACAGTGGTACATTGTTGTGTTTTATTTTTATAATGCTGCTGTTTCAGCTCCAATTTTCTACTCTTTAATATAGTTAACGTAGTTTTAAAAAGTTAAGCTCTGTGATGCTATTTTATTCTGTTTAACGCATTTTATTGTTTGTTTTATTTTTAGGTGTTTCCCTTGTCCACCAACAGTGTTCCCTCTAAGCTGAGTTAGTGTAAGCTAGCTCACAGTTTTTTAGCTCACACATTTTTGTCTTCGCTCAGGAAGGATGATTCCAGAGCAAACTAATTGATGCAGTAGCCAAATCGCTCGTTCACAACTTGAATGCCAGTAGCTCACAAAGTGGAATTTTTGCTCACAGGACTCCACAGCTTAGGGGGGGCTTTGTCCACCAACCCCAGAAATATTATCCTATTGCTAGCACAGTATATAAATTAATCATAAAATTAATCAATACAAAACAGTTCAGAGGGCACCTTGCAGCAATCATGCTGCAGAGACCATGAAGCAGAAATGACAGAAGGCAGTTGTAGGGCAAAAGGCAAATTGAAGAAGCACTATTTAGGCACACACCTAGCATTCTTTCCCAATTGAGCCACTGTAGATTTAAAGAGGTCTGCTCTCAGTTTGAAGCATACCATTTCCTGTCTATATAACCTAGTAACATTTATGCTACATAGAGTTTTATTTATTTGATTTCCCCTCTGCTACCAATCCCAGGTTGCCAAAGTCATGCCAAACATGACCTTTTACTTTTCCATCCTCCGCAATCCTGTTCAACTCATGGAATCTTCATTCACCTACTATAAAGGGACATCTGCATTCTCCAAAGCCAGGGACTTGGAGGAGTTTCTCAACCAGCCTTCCCAGTTTTACAACGCCTCGGCTACAGACAGCCATTACGCCAAAAACCTCATGGCATTTGATTTTGGGTATAATCACAATGGAAACTTCTCAGCCAAGCACATCCAACTCATGCTACAATCCATTCAGGCAGAATTTGACCTTCTCCTGATCTTAGAGTACTTTGATGAGTCAATGGTGCTGCTGAAGGAGGCCTTGTGCTGGGACTTGGACGACGTGACATTCTTTCCTCTCAACAGCAGACACAACAACACCAAGACCCGCCTTTCAGAAAGCACCACAGAGAAGATAAAGAGCTGGAACAAACTTGACTGGGAAATCTATGTGCATTTCAATAAGACCTTCTGGGAGAAAATAGACCGGCACATTGGCAAGGAGCGCATGCACAATGAAGTGAGGATGCTGCAGCAGAAGCGGGAGCAGCTGGCAAAGATTTGCCTTCAAGGAAGTGGCAGTGTAGTTCCACAGCTGATCAAAGACCGGGCATTGGCACCACTGCAGTATGGCAAAGCAGTAATCATGGGGTACAATTTAAAGCCTACCCTAGATAAGGCAACAAGGCAGATGTGCCAGCGCATGGTGACACCTGAACTTCAGTACAATAGGCTCCTGTACAGGAAACAGTTCCCAAAGAAAGCTCTGAAGCACAGCAATGCAGCTGTCTTGCCTAAACTATCTAACCGCAGGACAGTTTGAGACAAATGTAAGAAATGGGCTCTGATTCAGAGCCAGAAACTATTAGAATGAATATGTTTGTATAAAAGACTATCTGGAAGCCATACCAATACCCACAGTGAGTTTTCCAGTCACAGTTTGTCAAAGTCATTAGAAGATATTCTGACCGACATGGGACTCACAATCCATGTGTTCATGTTTCCCCATACTATATCCTTTGCTGCTGCTATTGCAGAACACCTCAGCACATGCAGTTACCCTACTTACCACGATTATTCTACCATCAAGATACCATGCTGGAAGAGTTAATTGGTAGTAAATCAGATTGTTACTGATTTACTGTATCAGCAACTGGGCTCTCCCTCTATATCAAGTCCTCCAGGAGGAAAGGGGGTTTCTGAAGGTCTGAAAAAGCACCCACACACCCTTAACATGCCATTTGAATTCTAGGATTCATTTTGTTACTTAATTTTCTGTGGATGACTATGTTACATGATTCTAGACAGGTGAATTACACAGCCCCCCAAAAATTTATTTTGATCCCTTCTTGAAGAACAATCAAGTAAGCCAGACCTCCCAAGCTGAGATTGCTGAGGTGTTGAGGCTGGGTGCAGTGCTACAGTTGGAATGTTAACCTAGTTCAAATGCCTACTCAGCCATGAAGCTTATGAGGTGACCTTGGGTCAGTCACCCTCTCTCTCAGCCTGACCTACTACGTAAGCATGGGGAGGAACCAGCACAGCATAGAGGTAAGAGTTGTCTCTGAGATCCAGGTTCAAATCCCCAATGTACCAGGGAAGCTGGCTGGGTAATCTTGGGCCACTCACAGACATTTAGCCAAACCTACCTCAGAAGGTTGTGGTGAGGGGAAAAATGGGGGAAAACAAAGAAGGGGAGAATGTTGCAAGCCATTTCAGAGTCCCATTGTAAGGGGGGGGGGGTATAAAGGAAGTAGAATAAGAAGCTTTGTCGACAGAAAGAACATGTTCGTCGGGTGACTGGATTTGGAAAACTGGTCTAAGGAGATTTGTTAAATTGCCATTTGAGTGAGTATATATGTTCTGACAACTGGGAAGATGGTAAATTTGTTGTAAATAATAGATATGCCATAGAAATATACTTTCAGTTTCACAGCTAGAGTACCAGCTATCTGAAGAAGCAGGAAGCATAGCTGCTACTCCTACAAATGTGGAACTTTTGTTCTTCTGAAGCGTCTCAAAGGATTAGTGGACTTTATTTGAAATTTGTCCTTTGTATTAAGTACTGATAGATCCTAACCCTTTAAGAAAATATAAGTGTGTGTGTTGAACTTGATAAGTATTTGAAGTGTTAAAATTGATTTCCATAATATATTCTTTCTACTTCTGTTCGTAATTTATACACGGGAGTGTTTGTGTATTGATGCAACCACCTGGAGGCTGACAACCCTATCGGCAGGTGAACAATATTTTTACAATTGGGGGGGGGGGAGGCACCATTTGGAATGTCTGGTCATCAAAACATCTTGGGATGTCTCTGGGACAGACCCAAAATGCCCCAAACACGACAGCTAGAGAGACATCGCACTTATATGGACATTACACCAAGCCCCCCTATAGCCATAGATAGGTCTGTTGTCATAGGGAACTGTTGCCAAGGGAAATACTGCAAGGAAGGAAGTTTCTATTTTTTACAGAAAAATCAAATGAATCATTAAGCATCAATCTTTTATTAAAACATCAATTCAAAATGTCCACATTGCTTACAGCCATTAGAACAGAACTCACAGGTAGCTAACTCTCTCTGGCTCAGGGCCACAGAGGGCATTACAGAAAACTGTCTCAAGCATACTATAGTATGAAGTATATCTCAAAAACTACTCAGGCTTCCTCTCAAGACTAAGCCCAGCCCTGCATGATGTAGCGCAATAACCTGTGACTGGAAACTCTCCCTTTTTGCTTTCCTGCCAAAGTCCACCATGTGACCTCAGATATTCTCAGTTGCCAAAAACATCTCAAAGGACACCGTTGCCAGGTTCTTTCAATCTGTTCTCTCTGTTGATCCTAAACAGCTGGTCTTCTCTATTTTTGCCTGTCTCCACTGAGCGCCACATAGGAAACACTTTTCCCTTGGGTGTCCTGTATTTGTTCTTTTGACTGTAGATCAGATTTCTTTGAAAGAGTCGTGGGATATTTCCTTGATATGCAAAGAGCGCAATTAACATCCCTAGAAGAAAGTCAAGGAGGACAACTGATTTATTGTTGTACTTTATTCCAGTCATTTTTCTGTACCTTTGTGGGGGGGAAGATTACATCTGTTCAGCAGTTCTTAACTCATAAATCCATCCTTTTTCTTCTGGCTAGTACACACCTGTCTGATTGATGGGTGTTTGTGGAAACAGTTTTTTGTGCAAGAGCACTTTCATAATAGTTAATCTTGCCCTAGATTAGGATAACGCAGAGGTACAACCCCCCCCCACACACAAAAAAAACCTTTTTAATCCCTTCCATTTTAAAAAGTCATTTCTTTTAGTCTGCTTTTGTTCTAGAAATCAATCTGGAAGTAACATTCCTTGCAATCAAGATAAGCAAGGACTGTGCAAGGAGACCAGACTGATCCTGCTGACATTACATATCAGAACTTCCAGAGGGCTGGGGCAGGGGAGCCTAGGTCTCTCACTGTTCGATTTTCAAACAATGTTATTACAGCCTACAGTTTTGTTGCACATTAAAGCTTGCACTATAATGGCTGCCCCACAACCAATAGAAAAACCCTATCTGTGTGTGTTTGGAATGGGTAGTTGTTCCCAAAGCCCAACTATCTTTTTAAAAGTGGCTTTTGTATGTCAGAGTTAAGATTTAGATAATTAGTTTTTAATTTAAGCTTGTTAAAGATTACAATTCCTTCAGACACAGATCTCTAAACTACAGTGTGGCCCATGCAAAAACAATTAGCCATTTGTTGTCTCTCTCAATAGCTTCTCTGTAAAAAGAACCTGTGTGGAGTTTTTGAGAAACTGAACTCCTATCTCATTCCATTTACTACTTACTGGCTAATTACTGTTTTGTTAAGAGCAGCTGTGTCAAACATATGAATATTTATGCCTTAGCATTGCAACAGAGTGGCTAGCAAGGGATTCATACTTTGCATTTTTAAAAATAGCAGCAGTGTTCTTCTCTTTCCCAGGGGTTCTGGGACTTCTTTCAATGTGTAGATTCTCTACAGTCTTGGAAAGTGCCATATGCAAATCTGCTGACTGCTGGGGATAGTGCTTCCACACTGACTTGTTTTGACTGCTCTTTCCTCCCACTCCCCCATTCCACTCAACACCCTTCCCTTTTTCTAAAAAAGAGAAGATGCTGTTGCTGGTGGTGGTGTGACCCACTTCAGGAAGACCAATGTTTTATTGGGATGATTCAGATTTGATTTGTAATGCATCACCATATGCCCTACACCCCAGGATAAATCCTAATTCACAATAACAACCCAGGAAGAGTATAGGTATCATTCCCCCTCTCCACAAAAGTATGGTATCCCACAGCACAGTAAGGTCACAGCTGCACATGTGCTTGTCCTTCCTAGTGTCTGCTGGCTCACCTGTGATAGGTCCCAGCCAATACACCTGCATGTACTCCAGCAAACTATTCCCAGTGCAGGGAAAGGTCACAGCTGAGGCCAGGGCAGGGTTGAAAAAGGCTCCCGTGAAAGGCCCAGCTGTGGGAGGAGAAAAGCAAACAACTTAATCAGTCTCTTTTCTTCTCAAATTCATTTTTATGAACATGTGCCAGGATAAGTTTTATTGAATAGACAAGAGTCACTGCCATGTTTCAATTAAAGCCAACAAAGTGGAATGTTCTAGGAGTACAGCCTAAAGAACTGAGCTGTGAAGTACAACTCTGCCAGGTAGTGGTATCTGGGAGCTGTCTAGGCTGCAGGTGTAAAGTTTGGTGGCTCCCCTCTACCAGCTGCCACTTGACAAGCTTATTTTGGGTACCTGCTTGGTTGGGAAAGAGGGACCGTCTAAGACAATGCTGTAAGAATAACAGTAGCTGCCCCACTGCTAGATACAGAGTCAGTCAACTCTAGGATACTGGGCCAGAGGACATGAACTGGCATGGGAACATTCTTAGAACATGGAAAATTATCCCTGTGAAATCTGAAGACTTAAGGGTAGAGAGACAATGGGTACCAGCACTGGAACCCAGAATTCAAACACAGAGTCAATGTAGGCTGGCTTGAAAAGCTATCCCAGATCCAGATGCAGCATATATATTTTTTTTATCAGGGGTGACAAAATATCTAGTGTCACACATCTCTGAGTGGGGTGGTCACTGTTTAGCACATACACCCTCGGCAGCAAGGAATGAGTGTTGGTATTCCCTCGCTCTTCAGTCAGAAACTATTTAAATCCTAATCAGAATCAGTGCTATGATGATGGCATAAATCTTCCAGTGTTCCTCATTCAGTTCTCTTCATTCAGTATTTTCCATACTCCTGGCTTACATCTCTATTAACATCAAACACTAGCCTGTCAACACTCCCACTTTTTGTACTGCACCATGGCAAAGAACTACAGGGGTTTGCCAGCTGTTGCAGTATCCAAGAACAAAAGTTTAAGATTCTTCCATTCCCCACAAAAATAACTCAGTTGTAATTGGGATTTCCCCCCCTCCAATTTTTATGAGTTGGCAATCCCAACATTAATTCACACTGAATGTTCCAGTTTAATTTCTCAGTCTCAATATTTTTCAAGTGGTTAAGGTAATCACAATTTAATACTGATATTATGGGAACAAGATGCTCAAATAGTAGCGATTCGTATTTACAAGGCAACCAGAAACCATAAAGACAAACCATTAGCACAGCATGAGCTAATTAAATTACAAAACATAGGTATCATAGCAAAAAAGTCTATATAGTAGGATCCATACCTGTATAGGCCAAGATGGTAACAGCAAGTGCTGTGACAGGGATTCTGTACATGGGATAGCTAGCCTTGAACCTGAGAACCACTAGCTGGAAGAAGAATGAACATGTGGCTTCCACAAAGATGCCCTGGGAAACAGAGGTGCTGAGAGAAGAACTGCAGTCTTGGGCTATCAAGTTCTGGATCATGTGGAAGTCTGTCAATTCCCATGACCAGTATTGTTTGGTAATGGACCAGGCTGCTCCCATCCCCATGAACTGGGCCAAAAGTTTGGCAACAGTCAACACAAAAGAAGAATCCAACATTAGAAATTCCTGGAGTGAGAGTGTAGGATTAGCAGAAGCTCCATCAAATGAGGCTCCATGAACCAAAAAGATAACAAAGAGGAGAGTCAGGCTCACATCTGGGCCAAAGCCACCACCCCAGGGACCAATCATCATCAGCATCTTCAGTTCGAGACAGCAAGCACACATCTGGAACGAACTGGCCAGTTCTCTAGCAAGACATAAATATACCTTGGGAGGAAAAAAATTTTTTGACAACCACCTGGTCACCTCACAAAGGGCTACTACAGAGAAAAAAAAGGCAATTGAGACATTCAAACCAGCCATTCTGGCACTTACTCAGGCGATGGGAATTGAACAGCAATATAATAAACCCTGTTGCTTGAAAGGGGAGGGGTATGGCTTATTAGCTTGCAATTCATCAACATAAATGTGCTTTTAAGCAAACGTGGCACACAATGACAGGCACTCATGGCCGTCTCTGGGAAAACTGACACATTTAACACCATGAACTGGCTTGGACAAAGGATTGCTCCGTTTTCACATCCAGATCAGCTCTTGCCGGAATATTATCTTGGCTCTTTCCTGTGTTACTACCAGCCTTGTGTCAAATATCTTCAACTAGACCACTGAAACTAGCTCAGCAAGCACTGAAGCCTGAAAGTAATTGTATACTTCTTCCTTCAAATGGCTGCAGGAACACAGGACACTTAACAGTTGAAATCCTTTCTTTTGCCCACAAAGTTAATGCTTACCAATAGGGATTATGTGATCCTTAAGCCTATTTACCCTCACACTTACTGGCCAGGTCATCAAGCATATCTGGGAAGCTTCCCACATACGCTTGATGACCTGGCCAGTAAGTGTGAGGGTACATGGCCAGGAGGTTTAGGTTTAATTCAGTTGTATTCTTTGGGCCCCCGTTTCAATTTTTGCTTATCTGATATAGCATTCAGTTTCCACTCTAGGCACCTTCATGTTTTCGATCCTAAAGACAACTAGGCACAGGGAGAAGGGAAGAACAAAGTCTGCAGCTAGGGATGAAATTTCTAGTTTCAACTACAGTGAAATTCTACTGAGGACAAGAAAGAGCTTTCTGCATTTTCTTCCTCCAGGGGTTTCCAACTGAAGGGAACTGTTTGGACCCCAGTGGGGAGATATGTTTGCATCCTCTCATTCTTCCCAATCACAAACTAGGATGGAGGGGACTAGGATGGACTGCTGCAAGAACTTTTAGACCAGGATAAACAAACCCCTCTCTATGTTTGAAATTGGTAGTTGTTTCAAATTGATCTTTAAATGTAGCTTCAAGTGAGAAATTTCACCCAACAGTTGGCCATCACATTAAAAAAATCTGCACAGAATTAAAACTAGATCAATTTCAAGCACGCTTATAGGGATAGGACAGCTTTCCTAGAGGCTGTTAAGTTACACGTGTCTATTAAATCCAAAATGCTTTTAAACCCTCAAGCTGGTTCTCTTAACATTTTCAATATGTTTGTTCCTCACAACCCAGCATCAATAATTTCACAAGCAAGTGGAGATTGTCATACAAAGTTGCATGCAATGTCCTGCCGCTCTAAGGATCCCGCAGAGTCTATTCCTGTCTGGTCAAAGAAACCAGTGATGGATTAAGGACTCCTCTTGGACCTTTCCTCTTGTGCACTCTGGCACTAAGTGTAAATGGGCTCCAATGGGGGGCACTCAGAGTCTTCCAGCTGTTGTATGAGATACTGTATTCCCATCTGTACTTTTGAAAAAGGGCTCACCACTCATTGCTTCCCTCCATCCATATTCTTTCTTCCTCTCTGCCACCCACTTCAACTGGACATCCAGTTCCTTTGCATCAGGTTTCTAGACTTGGGTTGAAGACATATAGAACCAGAACTTTGGAGCTGTTCCAAAGGTATTGCTATACAATTCTGTAGGTAAATAGGTTTCTTAATTCACAAGTGGACAGCTGGTGGCCTGCAGTTTGCACTTGGCCTGCAAGATGATTTGTCCAGCCTTGCAATCAGAGAATGTACACATGGGCTCTGGGCAGCCTGCAGAGGTTTTCTAAGCATTGCCTCTTCCATGAGCACTGCATCATAGACTAAAACATGCATAAGAGCTGGCATGCTTAGCAAGGCCTAGAGCAGGAAGATGAATATTGCTCACTGGAGGCTAAAGCTAGCAACAACTTCTGGCTTCCAACATCCTGAACTCGGCGATATCCAGCCCAGTGATGCTTAACCAGGACCATCCAGAAAGTGATATAAAAATCTTTTGGGGTATTCAGAACTTTTTGGGCAAATGGGGTTTGCAATTTTAAGCAGTTCCTTTCCTCCCCACTTGCAATGGTTTCTGAATGCTACCAGAGTTGTTTTTATGCTGCTCACCCTACCCTGAAGGTAGAATTCCAGATTTCTCCACTAGCTCCTTAAAAAGGTGAAACAAACAATTCTGAATCAAAGCTAATATTAAGGAATTGGCCGATGTCTATCAGGCACAAGGGTCTTAGTGCATGCCTAAATTCTGTATGTGTATGTAATAAGTATTCTTATATAAAGATGACTTGGCTTGAGCGTGGGTTTTATATAAATATGCTTTAATTTTTAACACGGATTGGGGAGCTCAGATGATAAAGTGGAATACCTGGTGGACAACACTGGATTCAAGATTCATTGTGTTACCCCAACCCTAAAGCCATTTGTAGTCCTCTATTTTGGAAGGGAGGTAAGGACTCTCTACATTAGGAAAAGCTGATACTTAAGAGCTGTCCAAAAACTAACAGAGAGAGTGTGTGTAATGCTGAAGTCAATCAGTTTCACAACCATAATTTTTTGTTGGCAGGCCCTAATGGTAAGAATGACATTTCTAAGTATGTTTTTTCATGGAGACACAAAATTGTCTTGAAGGTAGTTGAATAGCATGGAAATATCACAGTGGCTTTCACTGTCAGGGAAACTTTGAGGACAAATGATAATTCAGCCTCAAAGCCATTCCCAATTGAATCATCCCATCATGTGGTCCCCCCAAAAAATCTGCTCCTCCTATTTATTGGGAGGGTGAGGGAGAAGGAACAGTCAATCGTTTTACAAAGGTTTATTTCTAGCCCTGAAAGAACGAAGTCATTAAACATAGTCAAATACAGTAGTTAATATTGCAGTAACAATTAAATAACAGATTGGGATTAAATTACACAAAAGGCAATAAAATCTGAAGACAGTAAAAAAATATTGAAAGCCTGCACCTACTTCCATGTCCAATCTGGCAAAGTGATAAAAAGAATGTGTAGAAGGAAATCATTTCAAGGTGTACTTAATTCCAGCTATGAAGACACTTACCAAAAAAAAAACCCTTCCAAGTCTATTTAGCAGAGTTAATTTACTCCTAATTGCCATGGAGTACATATATGGTGATCACTTAAGTTAAAAACATCCATGCTCAAATGGTAAGTATCTCTACCCGAACCAGTACACGTTCACTGTGGTCAGAAACCAGGTTTGTTTTATTTTCTGTGACGGGGGAGGGAGGAATCTGGGATCTGATTATTCCAGGTTAACCTGCTTTCATACAACAGGCACCCTTATCGCACGTATTCAAGCCATCAACTATGGCTCATTATTGAAAACAGGTCCAAAACACAAAAGCTGGTGCACATTAGCCCTTTGGGGTTTATTTTCAATTATGGTGAGTTTGTTAAGCCCAGATTAAATTCTGAGGCCATGAAAGGCTCAGCTCTCAACTGGGGCAATCAACACATATTGAATTTAGCCTGATAAACACCCAAAGACAGTACATATCAGTCATTACATATTCCAATTAGTAACTGGAAATCTGGGTAAGTCAGAATTAGCCAAGAAGTTAGTCAAGTGAGAATGAACCACGGTTCCTGATGGCAACCCCTCTGTCTCATAACGTCTCCTACTTCTGTTCCCGGTCCTTACTAGCGCTAGGAGGCAAGACAATTAGATGAAGGCTCTCATGCAGCATGAAACCACAAGCTACTCTCCGGAGTTCCTATATGGACACATTGTGAGAGATCTCAATTCCATGAGGGTACCAGAGGCCACCACATGCGCCTCAACTACTCCTGGGCTAGTCCAAATTGTTAGCGACTTCTTGAAGATTTAAGAAGACAGGTTGATATGCAGTGGATTGCTAATTTCAAATAACCGAAATAATTTAAAGGCCAATAAATGCTATCATCTTGTTTAAACTTACTTTAACTATGGTTTTTTAACCTTACCAGAGCTACCATTAAAAAAGAAACACCAACACACCTATGCCACAGGAGTCATGGGTTCCACATAATCTATTGCCAGCAACAGACAAAGACCCAATGCTAACATTAAAATTAAATGCAAGGTTTTCTTTTCTTTTTTTAAGTGTCTTCGCTTGATTCACATACAACAAATGTAAAATCAAGACTATTCTAACTTTTACAGTAAGGTGATCAATATTGCAAGTTATGGCAAGGGGAAGAACAGCATCGTAAAATATCACACAGACCAGGACATAACACTTCCTTGGGCCAAACCATGGACATTACAAATGTACTGAAAATAAATGGACTGCCGTGTTACATCATTTTCAGAGGAATACTTTTCACAAGATTAAAAACTAAAAATGGGAGTGTGGCATTGCTTTCCATTGTACAAATAAGGCAGAGCATCAGTGGACTGCTGCAAGCACTTCCAGCTTCTAAAGGAATGGAACCTTGTGGGGTGCAATGGCTCCAAACTTGGAATCTGTGTTTTTGCAGCAACCTGTGCATGAAACTGACACAATTGTGTTCTTATACCAATACTTGTTAAAATTACTCAAAGATAAGAAAGACCCTTCTCACTGACCATAAAAGATTTCTTTTAAATCAGAGCTTTAAGATGTTCTCCAAAGAATATGATCTAGGAGTGTAGCAAAGCTATAGCACCAAATTAATTAATCTCTTTGTATTATGGTTTGGCACATCACCATTCAGGAATTCTCCATCAAGGGGCACATAAAATAGTGATTTTAAAAGATTGACGTGAGTGACCAGGGAACCCTCATGATCTACCTGGCTGCCTCAACTGGAACCTCAATTCTTCTATGGCTCCAATTATTTTCATTTAAAGAGGCACTTTATCTTGTGTTTTACCTTCTGCCACAACAATTGAGAAGTCTTTCAGGAAAGGACCACCATGACAAGGCAAGTTTCTCCAGCAAGCCAATTCAAACGCTGATTCTAAGCTACATACCACCTTGGATTTTTGTCTCCACAAAATAGCACTTTAGGTGTTCAGAAGTTTCAGTTGGCTGAATTATACAAAAAGTCTTGGATTTTCCATTTTTTGCAAATCCACGGAATCTTTTGTTAGTAGAAATGGCGCATATACATATAAAAAAGGAACAGGTCTAATACAAGTCCTGACAACTCCAAAGTTGGTGCATTATTTGCTTTTGGAGGGAAAATGTACAACATATACAAAATGTATTTAATACAAAGAAGGGTAATTTAAAAATTCAGAAGGCACCAGCATAAAGCCCAAGTCAGAACATGGATGCAGCACTTTGCTATAAAACCACAAACTTTCAAGATATCCGTTTAAATGTTACCAACAAGCCTAAAGAGGCAAGGGAGGAGTGGAAGACAGTTTACAGATTGGGATTCTCTCCCCAAGCCCAGAGGATGGTTTAAGCATTAAACACACACACACACACACACACACACACACACACTCTCCTCCTTTTCCCCACATTCACATTCCATCTTCAAAATTCAGAGGAATCTTTCCCTTGGGTTAAGAAGTCCATGCAACAACTTTGCTGAATCTTTTCCTTCCCTCTCTGCCCATGTTCTTCTGTTTTTAAGCAAAGTCAATGAAATATTATGGTTCTTAAGTAGCTGGGTGGTTAATGCTACAACACAGCTATACCTAAACTGTACTTAAGAAAAAGAGGGTCAGAGGTACTTTCACATTTCGAGCCATCTGCCTTTAATCCAATAACTTGGAGCATGCCATGTTTTTGAAAGGCTGACTGACAAAAAGAAGGGAAGAAAAAAAATATTAGCACATTAAAAGTAATGCCTCCCTCTAAAAGCTTGAATCAATTGTTCAAGTATTGAAAGTGCCCAACTGAGCACAATGAATGGGATCCGGTACAGCAAAATCATCACCAAAAAAAAAAAGAGAGTGAGAGAGAGACTCCCAGGCTTAGTAAAACATGCTCGAGTTGTCTGCAGAGGTGAAAAGGCCAGTGATTCAGTCCACATCTTCTTCGGGGATCCTAGAAGAGTTCACTAACACCACCACATTTTTTTCCTTGTGTGTATTCCAGGTGAGAGAATTTTCCCCCACTTCTGCAGACTTTCAGCCCCTAACAAAAACAATTTATATATTATGAAGATTTTTTAAAATAAAAACAAAATTATGAAGGCCACAGCAGCAATGCTAACGGTTACTCTTCATTGCTTCTTTGGCTGCTAGGATCAGTGGCGTCAAGCTTGACAAAGGTTTGGCCAGTTTCATGAAAGAGTGCTGTCAAAAGAAAGAAAACAACAATGAATGGAAGGTACAATTCAATTTCAAGACAGACACTTTCTCAAATACACAATTACTACTCAGTTCATTGCACCCAAATCACACTGCAGCATAAAAGATTGGTGGAGACTGGAGTGGAGGCATTCAAATGGAGCCTCTGCTCTCTACCCCTTGGAGGGGTTATAAAGTGGGGAAGAAGACTCTCCTGCTGGCTCCTTCCACTAGAATCTTTTCATCCAAGTGATAACTGATACTGGTCTCTTGTGGAGATGCAAGCAGTGAGGTAGGAAGAGGCAGGTCCAACAGGTTGAGACTAATTCTTGCACTGGGGCAAGATAGTTCCAGTGTCACTAAATTGATGCAAGATACAGAGAAGCAATAATGACACTGTGAATCTGACAGCTAGTCACTGAGGCTGTTGCTACCCTGTAAAATCAAAGGCAGGTACAGCAGCAACAACTCTTTACCTGTATTTGGGCTCCAAGTGGTATTGGCCTTTGCAACAGGCAGAATTACAGGAGTGAGAGTAGAAGTAAAGAGCCTGTGGTCAACTAGCTCATTACATGGCTTATGGGCCTGCTTCCCCTTCTCCTCCAAGTATGGGAGAAGCAGAAAAAATGCAGGGGACTCTTCTGCAACTCAAGCACCTCAGCAACTTCTCAATGTTCCCAAGTAGTGGCCCTAGGCTTTAATCTACCAATAGCTTTCCTGGTTACAAAGATACTCCCTTTACATATCCAGTTCTATCTCTTCTGAGTTCACAAATTTTGCAAGTCCCTTCATTTCAAAGTACAGTAGCTTGACTTGCCAAATGTCAAAACAATTGCCCTTTGGGGAGAGAGATTCCAACCCTTTACCTGTAATAGTTCTTTGGCAGACCCTCTTTTCTCTACATCCATTTCCAAACAACTATTTAGAAAGTCACGGAATATTGGAGACAGTTTTTCTGGGTTCTGCAGCTCTGGGGTGCCATTAGTTGCTATCAAATATAAAGCCTGCAAGAAAGAGATAACGTTGTAAAAGAAAAAAAGGCATTTGCATTTTTACTACATGTTCACCTGAAGCAACTCAGAGTTTAATCTCAGAACTGATAAAGAGCATCTACCTAGTGAATTTTTACCTAGACCTACAGCTTTCAAACTATTTTCCAGGGAACCCTGCTTTTGCTCAGAAGCTCATCAGGAATTCCTTAACAAGGGTATCAGAAATGGTGAACGTGTTCTCATGAGAGATTGCTTGCTCACTACTGCTGATATTCCGCTGCAATGCACTCTAGCACAGAACTTTTATGTGAATTCTAGAAAGTATATTAGTCCATGCAAGAAATCCCACAAGCAGCACAGCACAAACATGACCAGAGTCAAAGAACTTAATGGAAAAATACAATATGCACTACTGGGCTAGAGTCGAGAAAGGCATTTCACACCTGAGAAAAGGCCAAAGTATGTACTCTGCTACTGAGTCATGGCAACTCTGAGCTGCTATGAAAGAGCACACTAAAGCAAAGCTACTGGTCAACAAAGCAGTGACTTACCCGCAAAGGATTTTCATTGAGATATGGAGGTTCTCCTTCAACCATTTCAATAGCCATGATGCCCAAGGACCAGATATCTACTTTTGGGCCATAGGCCTTCCGTGTTACCACTTCAGGAGCCATCCAGTAAGGTGTCCCAACCATAGTACTACGTTTGCTCTGTTCAGGAGTAATCTGAGCACAAAATCCAAAGTCAGCTGCCAAAAGACAAGATGAATAATAGTTAAGGTAAAATAATTTCCCTGCTGTTGGGCCATCTTGTGCGTTATTAGCCAAGCTGCATTTCCAGAAAAATCATACAAACATATATATTCCTTCAGGTCTATTCTTAGAAAGCTTAAGTGCTGTTCTTCATCTAGTTACAATGGATAGCCAAGGTGCAGAAAAAGCAATTTCCTAATGCATTTATTGTATATCACCTACTGATTAAACAGGAGATGGCAGAAAACCAGAAACCTGTTGGACAGTGCTGGTTTTCATTATGAAAACAATGGTATCTATTCCCTTGGACTTCCCACTTGTACAGGAGAGAGACTGTGAATGAGTTATTCTGTTTAGGCAAAATGGCTAAGTGGGGGGAGGTCCCCTATAAACTGAAATTTCAAATTAAATACAGAACATCATGAAACGTGTGAGAGTATGTGAAGGAAGGTAGCTATCTTAATCAGCTGTACATATTCCAGGATAAACTAGTACTTTTTATTTAAAAATCAGTGTAACCAAGATGGACTTAACCGAATACTTTCAAAAAAATGAACTGAAGAGCTATCATAACATTTGGATAATCTAAAGGCAATCCTGTCACTCAAAGGAAGTCACTGAACCATTCTTGCTGTCATTATCTAGCACGGGGGTCTTACTTCTGTGGTTGAAACACACAGTGGAAAAGGAACTCAGAAACTGATGAACTTGAAGTCACCTGCCTAACCCACCAAGAAAATCATGGACATGTGAAAATGAATTCTGTAACTCAGTCTTCCCCCAATTAAAGCTTTGTATTTCTAAGCCATTACTTTATTTAATCATCTATGAATCTTAAACGTAGTATTCAGTTAGTGACAGATTTACAACACTTATTATGCCTACCTAACTTCTTTTTATTATTCTATGGTTGCAGCTGAATTACTCTGCCGATTAAAGAAGGCAGAGACTGCTCAATTTGGTATTTTCTTATTTCTACTATTTAAATTTAATCCTGAGGACTCTGGTGAATTGAACAATTTCCACCTTCAAAGTTACTCAATCAAGGCTGCCACCTGCTGGTTTATAAATGCAAACTCAAGCTTACTAGAGAGTTGCAAAACAGAGTAGACTCTCCCCATGTAACACTTAGGTATTTGGGACAAACTCTCTCACTATATGCAGCAAGCTAAGTATATATTTACAACCTCGAATGGTATCTAGATAACATTCTTCCTATCTTAAATACTCTCAGCCACATTTTCACATGCTATGAAATCAAAACCATGTCTAGTGGGCAAGATGTGTTGAACCACAAACTGCAGACTTGGCAGGGAAAACTACTATTGTAGTTTACATATAGTGACTGCTTTACACTTACTCAATTTAACTGATCCATCCATTCCCAGCAGCACATTGTCACTTTTAATATCTCTGTGTATAACCTGATTAGCATGGAGGAACTCCAGTGCCTGCAAACACTGTATGAGGAGAGTAAATTGGATTATTGTCAAAATACATTCAGCATTTACATTGTCATGCTATCTCTAGGCAGCCTCAAAGGATTATTTGCTTATTAGATATTTAGGTATACCATGACTTTCCAATAAAATGTCCAAGGTGGTCAAGCTAACAATTTAAAAACCTCTTCACTGATACCCAAGATTAGATGAAATACTAAAATTAACACACCTAACGTTTGGGGGAAAATCACCAATTAGAAGAATAATTGAACTGGAGTCTCTCTCCACTATCTTCCCGAAAACTTGATCCTAGGGTCAGGAGGGGGAAAGGAAGGGGTTGGTTTTCAGGAACAATGTGGAATATGGCACAAAGTTACAATAAGGAGAAACTGGCAGAAAACTCCACCCACCCACCCCAAAAAAAAACCTCTGGGTATGTGCTCAGGTTTGCCTGAGATGTCTCTTTCATCTATCAATTTTTTTTGAAGATTTAGAGCATAATTTTAATTTTGCAGTTTGAGACAAAATCAACAGGACTGGCGTGCTCACTTATACTACCAAATGACCATTTCAGATCCCAGAATTAAAAAATACCTCTATCTATAGCGGTAATTATATTCCTACCACAATTTAAATGCACCTAAAACAAAAACATTCAACATACAAAAAGCAATACTTTTCCTTCCTCCCACCATCACCAAGTGTTCACTCACTTCTCTGCAAACAGCAGCAATCTGTGCCTCATCCATGCAAGTCTCTGTAACCACATCTGTGAGAGACCCACCAGCCAAGTACTCCATTACAACAAATAGTTCATCTCCAACAAGGTAACTGAAGATACAAATTATAAAAAATGACAATTAAAATTTCAGCATACTATGGTAGTAGCCTGCAGGGTAAGAAAACTTACATTTAGATAAAGACATTAGACTACTTAGCTGCTTCATTCTTCCAATAAGCAAGCTATGGTTGCAAGAGGAAGATTTGCGGATCTCTTACCAGAGACATTTCTCTGGTACTGGAGAATTTACCATTTTAAAATATGAGTCCATAACAGTAATAACTAAAGCAAAACAGGTCTCACTGTCCTCATCTGAAGGTTCCAGTATGATATTTATAATGCCATATTATACCAGGAATAAGAATTACAGCAATATCAGATTAAACATACTACATATACCTTAGGAGAAAGAGTGATTTTCTGTTTATTGGAATATTTACACACACACCCCTTTTTCAAATCAGTGTCCTACAGTGCAATCCTATTCATGTTCACTCAAAGTCCTGCTTTACTCAATGGGGCATAACCTCAGATTAAGTAGGTACGAGATTTGTAACCTTACTCTCACAACAATCCTGTGAGATAGGTTAAACAGAAATAAAATGATTTGTCCAAGGCCACTTCATGAGCATTATGGGCTAATAAGGATTTGACCAGAGATCGCCCCCCAATACTCAAACCCAAAGCTCTAAGACAGACATGTCAAACATACAGCCCAGGGGCCGGAACCAGCCCATCCAGGGCTCTTCTCTGGCCCGCGAGCAACTGGGTGGAAATCAGTCCAAATATGGCCTATAGTGTATTATATCCCCTGCTGAGGTCCCTTCACCAAATGTAGGCACTCCCCAGGGTCTTCCCCCAGATCTCCAGGGAGTACCCAACCCAGAGTTGGCAACCATAAGGGGCGAGGAGGGCTGGTTTGGCCCCAGGCTCTGCTGAGGAGGGGTATGAGTCACTGTCAGTGGTAAAATATCTCCAGTACCAGGCATTACATCTTGTGGTGCACATGGCCCAGCCCAACAAAGTGACATTTATCTCAGATCTGGCCCTCGTAACAAATGAGTTCAACACCTCTGCTCTAAGCACTATATTATGTGTGTAGTTACCTGTCTAGAAAGTTGACTATGTTTGGGTTCTTCAGTTCCTTCATTACCAAAATCTCATTGATAATTAACTCCTTCTTGGGCTGCTTCTGAAGATTTATCTGTTTAATGGCAACCTGAAAGGTTGAAAAAGGAACAAATAAAAGAAAAATCGGCATTCAAAGAAAGGTGCTTGTAAAACTCTTGGAAGTCAAACATGTAAAAGGTTACAATAAAAGGCAAGTGGTAGCTTTCCTGACATTTCTTTTCCTGATATAGCACTAATTGTCTGTAATATGTGGATACATCAACTCAGGCCTCAGATGGGGCCGGAGCACCCCGGTACGTCGCTCTGGGAGTGAGGCGCCGGGGGACTTCCCAGGGCCCCGGGCTCTGGGAAAGATCCCCCCCCCCCCCCATTTCTTCCTGCCTGCCTGGGGCCGCAGTGCACGGCCCAGGCAAGCCCCCCCCAGCCCTGTCCTCCATCTTCCCGGAGCCACGCACTCCGGGAAAGATCTTCCCCCCCAAGCCCTTTCTGCCTCCCTTGGGCCACTGCGCACAGCCCAGGCAAGCCCCCCCAGCCCCGTCCTCCATCTTCCCGGAGCCAGGGTTCTGGGAAATATCTCTCCCCCCGTCCCTGCCTGCCTCCCTCGGGCCACTGCACACAGCCCAAGCAAGGACCCCAGCCCCATCCTCCATCTTCCCGGAGGCGCGCAGAGCCGCATGTACCAGGAAAGATCTCCTCCTCCTGTCCCTGGCTAGAGGCGATCTGGTGTGTTCTGGTGGTTTACAAAATGAGTCTCTGTGCCCTTAAGCCTGGGACGTTAGTTGAAGAAGGTGTGTGGGGGGGGGGTAGCTGGCCTCCGCAGCGTGTTAGAGGCGATCTGGTGTGTTCTGGTGGTTTGCCAAGTGAGTATCTGTGCCCTTAAGCCTGGGACGTTAGTTGAAGAAGGTGGGGGGGCGCCGGCCTGTGCAGCGTGCTAGAGGCGATCTGGTGTTCTGGTGGTTTGCAAAGTGAGTCTCTGTGCCCTTAAGCCTGGGACGTTAGTTGAAGAAGGTGTGGGGGGGGGAATTATTCAGGTGCCATCTGTCTCTCCTCTGTGAGGGAGAATCTGCATCTCCCCACCCCATGTCAACCAATCCAACAGTGGCATCTTTAAGACCAAGTTTTTATTCAGATGCAAGCTGTCTCTCCTCTGTGAGGGAGAATCTGCATCTCTTCTCCCCCCCCCATGTCTACCAATCCAAAGCAGTCCAGTGGCACCTTTAAGACCAAGTTTTATTTAGGCACAAGTTTTTCTTCCTCGGCTAGGACAGATCTGCACGTTCCTCCCCCCCCCCCATAGCTAGCAATCTAAAACAGTCCAGTAGAGCCTGAGCAGTGGGTGTTGCCTTCTGACACACTTCCGGTGATGTCAGGGGGTGTGGCCTTCTGACACACTTCCGGTGATGTCAGGGGTGTGGCATATGCTAATGTGTTATGCTAATGAGCTCCTGCACCTCTTTTTCTATGAAAAGACCCCTGCATAAACTTACCAGTACAACTGTCATCATCCTTACATGCAGAGAATAAAACCAGCAGCAAAAGCTCAGAAGTCTGTTTTGAGCCAGTCTCAGAAAAACAGCTTTGCTTGCAACATATCATAGTAAAAGCAATTTTTCTGGTATGCTAAAAGCAAGGCAGCATATTCACACCATATCAGATCAAACAATATTCACATGTGAAATCTCCAGCACCATCAAGGCATGAAATAGCAAGTGACAGCCATGTATAAACTAGGATAAAGTTAGAGATTAAGCACACCAAACGTTAAAGAACAGATATACTGAATTTTCCCACACAAAATGGATTCTAGAGTTAGGAAGAAAGGAGTCTGATGAGCTGGCAGGGTGTGTTGAAGAAATAAGGCATGTTGTTGGCAGGTAGAATCAGTGGCAGGGTCTGTGTTGTGGCTCTCAGTCATGACTTTTGGAGGGCGGTGGGGTACGGAAGTCTTGGGAACTTAGAACAGAGCTGTTTTGACAGGAGAGGTCGAACACAGGAATGTGCTAATGAGATCTTCAAAATAAACACACTGAAAAAAACAGAACTGAAATGTAATATAGCTAAGAAAAGACCAATTTATAAAGTAGTAGATTAAGAATGAAGTTTTTGAAAGCACTTTTAAAAACAAGAATATAAGACAGTGATGTTTTGGTTGCATGATTGAACTCCTAAATAGTAGTTTTCACATCATACATAACAGAACCAAGAAGGGGGATAGGATTCCTTTGCCCCCTTTTCTTGCCTCAATAGCAAATTCTTAGCTCCCCTCTCTCATAATCCATTCACTAGCTGAGGCAAGCCTCCCCCCCCCCCGCTCACACACCCCCAAACAGGGGAGATTGATCTTAGAAAAACGTATTGTCATAGGAGGAAAGCTCTCTAAACCTAATGTTTTCACCTGCATTTGGACTCCCTGCTATTTAGACAGTCAATGTTTTCATGAGGACATTCCACTTTACTAATATGTGGAATGAAATGGGTAAATAGATTGGGTAGACTGATCAAGAGAGAGATCTTGGAGTCATAGTAGATAACTCACTGAAAATGTCGAGACAGTGTGTGACTGCAGTAAAGAAGGCCAATGCTATGCTGGGGATTATTAGGAAGGGTATTGAAAACTGATCAGCCAATATCATAATGCCCCTATATAAATCAATGGTGCGACCTCATTTGGAATACTGTGTGCAGTTCTGG